CAGTTATTTTAAATTGTATTAATATTTCACAATTTAGCTGTTTTTACTGTATTTTGTTCAAATAAATGCAGACGTTAATGAGTATAAAAAAGGCTTGCAAAAACAGCAAAAAACTTCTGAACAGTAAATGTATATATAGATGCTTTCTGATATCGACACGTGTAACCTATCACGAATCTGATTCAATAGCACAAAATAAAACTTCTTTAGAACATTCTCAAATTCCTACTGAATATAAAACTGTAAAAATCGTGCTCAGGTATGGGAACGGTCTATAGAATATGCCGAGGCCTTCGTCTTTGTTCTGCACAATCATACTGGAGCTCAGTTATTATGAGCAGAGCCCTTCAGTGCAACACCAGACAAGCAGTGGTTACTCTTTGTTACTCTGTGTCCTTGTTACAGTGTAATTATACATCTAAGTACTGAGTAATATTAATTAACTACATGCACGGGTTTGGGTTGCTTGCATGTAATTATGCATAATCCATTGTTATTATAATAGCAAGCACATGCAAGATGTGTAACAAGGACACCTTATTAAAATAAAGTGTTACCACATCCGTTACATGTAACGCAGGTCAACACACGGCTGTAACAAGCAGCTCTTTGTGTCACTGGCCAAAGCTTTAGATTAATCCGACACAGCCGGAGTTGCTCTCAATCTATGAGCAATGCTGGGGTCAACAGGCTGCAGTTTATAAATCATATAATGCACATGCATATGCATGGATATATAATGCAGAAACATGTACCCACCTGATGAACAGGACACGAGGAATATGGCCAAGGCCAGTTTGGTGTCTGTCCTCATTTTCAATGCAGATTCTTGCACTGCAATAAATCCCAGCTGATAATCCGCTCCCTCTGAAATTAATGTTTGAATATTGCCAAAAGCATTTATTTGTGAGCAAACAGGTCCGGATCAATGTGTAAGTCTGTAAGAGAGGTTTAGTGTTTGAGAGATTTCACAAATCCTCAGTGTGGAGGTCAGTGCGCGTGTTTCTGTTTGCATAGATGAAATATCAAACATTAATGCAATCATACTGTATTAGATAGAGGCAGCAGCCTGTGCTGAAGCTTATGCATTATTATTGATCGACATCGATAAAGAAACAGCGATTATTTTGAGTGCATGGTGAAAATTCCTATTCATGGTTCAGTCGGGTTCAAAACCATCCTGGCTCTTTAAATGCTTTGAATAAATCTGATTTATATAATCAGAGTCGTGATCTTCATTCCAGAACGCACGAATATAAATCCAGCTCAGGGTTTAAATACACCGAGATCCGAAGAAGCAGCATCTAAAACAAATCAAATAAACAGTGTCGGATAAAATGCATTCCTCCGTGAAATCCTGATGCGCCTCTGAGACGCCTTTTTCGTCGGAATG